TCCATTTGTTGATGAAAATTCTTCTTTATGTTAGTGCTCTTTACTTTTCGTATATTTTTAGTAAGGCTAATACTGGTTGTTTCTTTCTGTCTGTAATGCCTCTTTCAGAAGCTCTTGTAAAGCAGGCCTGGTGGTAATAAAATCTCTGAGTACTTGCTTGTTCATAAAAGATTTTATTTTTCCTTCAGTTGTAAAACTTAGTTTGGCTGGATATGAAATTCTGGACTGAAGGTTCTGTTCTTTGAGGATGTTGAATATTGGCCCCCACTCTCTTCTGGCTTGTAGGGTTTCTGCTGAGAGATCTGCTGTAAGTCTGAAAGGCTTGCCTTTGTGGGTAACATGACCTTTCTCTCTGGCTGCCCTTAGTATTTTCTCCTTCGTTTCAACCCTGGTGAATCTAACGATTATGTGCCTTGGGGTTGCTCTTCTTGAGGAATATCTTTGTGATGTTCTCTGTATTACCCGGGGTTGAATATTGACCTGCTTTGCTAGTTCAGGAAAATTTTCCTGAATAATATCCTGGAGGGTATTTTCCAGCTTGGATTCATTCTCTCGTCGCATTCAGTTACACCTATCAAACGTAAATTTGGTCTTTTCACATAGTCTCACATTTCTTGGAGACTTTGCTCATTCCTTTTTATCCTTTTTCCTCTAATCTTGTCTTCTTGTTTTCTTTCATTAAGTTGGACTTTGACCTCTGTTATCCTTTCTTCTACTTGAACAATTCGAGTGTTTAAACCTGTACATACTTCTCGGAGTTCCTGTATTGTATTCTTCAGTTCCATTAATTCACTTATATTCCTCTCTAAGTTGTCTATTCTCAATAGGATTTCGTCAAACCTTTTTTCAAAGTTCCTAGTTTCTTTACGTTGGGCTACAACATGTTCTTTTAACTCACAGAAGTTTCTTATTATCCATTCCCTGAAGAGTGATTCTGTCATTGGGATGCGCTCGTTCTCCGTCAAGCCTTGTTCCATTGTTGATGTGGAACTGTGATCATCTTTAGAGGGAGAGGCATTCTGATTTTGAGTATTCTCAGCCTTTTTACGCTGGTTTCTTCCCATCACTGTAAATTTATCCTCCTGTCATCTTTGAAATTACCGACTTTCAGATTAGGTCTCTTGATTGGACATCCAAGTTGTTAGTTCCCAGGGCCAGAATGGCGGCATTAAGACTGATGGTGCTTTTCTGCCCAGGATTCTCCTGTCTGGCTTCCTTCTTGTGTCCGTAATGGGCGACTCTGCCTTCCTGGAGCTCCAAACATCGGTCAGAAGGGGAACCAGTCTCGTTTACTCTGCACCGAGAGCTGCCGCACTGAGGTGCCATCACAGCCGCTGCGCCGGTCTCAGGATTCGTGCTGGGGACCCATGTGGGTCCTCCAAACCTCGGTCAGAAGGGGAGCCGGCCCTGTTTACTCTGTTCTGAGAGCTGCCATGCCGAGGTGCCAGCGAAACTGCTGCGCCGGCCACAAGAGTCGCGCTGGCGACCCGTGTGGTTCCTCCACTGGGGATCTTCTGCTCCGTGAGCAACCAGAATTTGTCTGAAAGTGTGGCATCCTCTAGTTTTCTGCGCTTTGACTGAGAGCTGCAATCCCAAGCTGTTATTGATCGGCCATCTTGGATCGTTCCCAGCGAGGACCTTCTTAATTTGGAGCCACTCAGTTTATATCAGTATGGTCTAAAGTAGGCATGTACTCCCAGAATATAAACATTGCAATTATACATGCATTTAAAAAATAATGCAGCAAAATATTTACACATGGCTGACATGTAATATAGGAACATTTTCTTAAAAGTCCTAAAAATTATGGGCTTTTGCAATCTCTTAAAGAATGGTATCTACTGATTCTAATATTCAACTGGTTAGTCTTTCAACAATTTGAAATTAAATACTGCTTTGAAACAAAATAGCTCACTCACTAAATAGCTAAAGTGAAAACCACAAGCAAAGATGTTGAGCTAGAATTCTAACACAGCGCCAGTGGGAATGTGAATTCATATAACCTCTTTGGAAAACTGTTTGGCAGTATCAACTAGAAGATGAACATACATACTTTTGCTCCTATGATATACCCAACAGCAATGTATACAATATGTTTACCAAAGACAAGAATGTTTATAGCAGCACTATTCATAATAGCCCCAAACTTGAAATGACCCAACAGTATATTGGATGAATGATTTATGGTTTATTCATAGAATGGAATACTGCCATGAGAACAAACAAGCACAACCACACACAACAATATTAATGAATATCACAAACATAAAGTGAAGTAAAGGAAGCCAGACACGAAAGATTCCATTTAGATAGAATTCACAAACAAGCAAAATTAAGTCATGGCATCAGAAGAGAAAATAGACGTTACCCTGGGCAGGGGCTAGTGGACGGGGACACAAAGGAGTCTCTGGGTGCTGTGAATGTTCCATTTCTTGAGCTGGGTGCTGGTTAACAGGTATGAAGATTGATCGATCCTATTATTTGTCCCTTGTGCTGCATTCTACTAGGTGAACCAGTCACTAAGGCCAGCCCATATTTAAGAAGAGAGTATTGGACTCCACCTCTTGATGGGGAGTGGTCAGCCACATCACAGTAGAGTAAATGAGACGAGTGATATTGTTATAAAAACACAATTTATTCCTATCATAAAATACAATCAAATTTTTCAAATTTAAGGAGTATTTTAAATAAATTTTACAATCTACTCCAATTATCCAGTGCAAATTAGAACTCAGCATCATCTTGGGGTAAAGCAGAAAACTTAGAAAGGTAAAGAAGAAAGTCAGAGCACCAACCACCAAAGTGTGGGAGTTCACTCAGGGTGGTGGCAAAAATATTAAAGAAAAAAATATTAGAGAAAGATATAGAATATAGTCTCAAACCCTTTTGGAAGGCCTAAGGCTTTTTTCATAGTTTCAGTAGAAGTTTCGGCTGAAGGCAGCCTAAATTCCCTTTACATTTAGTTAATAAGAAAAGCAAATAGCTAGGGTATGGGGGGAGTTTATCCGAATAACTCCTTTACTCATGTGGTCTTAAAACCAAACTTTGAGCCAGATGGCCCTCTTGAGGGGAAGACAATCAGGAATATTACCCACTAATGGAGTTTGCTTTGGACACAGGAACCTGTCCTTTAATCTTTTACTCTAGTGGTGTTGACTAAAGCCTTTGTCAATTAAACTTTACTAAATAAATGTGAGTCTTACTGAGTGGTGGGGCCAGCGGTCACAACTGTTTACAGCACTCTCCAGGGAGTCTGTAAGCTGCCAGTCACTCAGTCAAACTGTCACAGCATAATATCTGTGTGTCAGTGTACTTTATTCATCTGTCGCTGAGTCAGGCTCTGCAGGACACACCACTGCAGGTGGTGACCCCGACAGTGGCACCCAATGTGGGGCAATCCAACACCAAAGTGCACAAGAAAAGGAAGGATGCTGTAGCCTGGGTCACGTGCCTTTCCTGGACCCATAATACAACCAGACAAATAGGGTACATTTACAAGTGAGTTCTAACTATGTGCCCAACAAGACCACATGAAATAAGAGAGAGACAAGTCACCAAAGGGAGAAGCAATGGGGAAACAACATATGTCTACTACAGACCACATGAACTGTATCTGACGGTCATCACAAGAGAAATTATTGTGTTTTTTTAGAGATGGGGTCATACTCTGTTACCCAGTGCAGTGGTGCCATCATAGCTCACTGACACTTCAAACTCCTAGATTCAAGAAATCTTCCTGACTCCACCTCCCAAGTAGCTGGGACTATAGGAGTATAGTACCATGCCCAGTGTCATGCAAGAAATTTTTTTTAATGGAGTCTCGCTCTGTCGCCAGCCTGGAGTGCAGTGGTGTAATCTTGGCTCACTGCAACCTCCACCCCCCGGGTTCAAGTGATTCTCCTGCCTCAGCCTCCCAAGTAGCTGGGACTACAGGTGTGCGCCACCATGCCTGGCTAATTTTTGTATTTTTAGTAGAGATGAGATTTCACCATGTTGGCCAGGATTGTCTCAATCTCTTGACCTCATGATCCACCCACCTCAGCTTTCCAATGTGCTGGGATTACAGACGTGAGCCATCATGCCCGGCCACAAGAAATTCTTAAACTTGGTATGTCAAGAATGAGGAAGTGTGTTCTCTCCAAATTACATTCAACTCTGAGACTCCAGCCTTCTCTACTGAACACATGTCAAATCCATTCACATTAATATCAAAATATTTTTAAAATATGTATCTAGTGGTAAAACGCACATCCAAGTACAACTATGGATAACAATCATGTTTAATTTCTCCTTGAGCACTTCTCAACAGACTCACTTCTCTATGAACATGTGTTAACACTTTCCTCTCTGGTAGTTTGAAAAATCCTCCACATTATTTTGAACACATACATTTCTGTTGTCAGCCATGAGTCATACACCAAAAATTTAACTGAAGACTACAGGTGTGGCAGGCTGAACTTAAGCCTCCCCTCTCCCTCTCAGGAGAGAATCTTGGGGATTAGAGGCAAATCAGGTGACTATGATGCCATCTGACCAGATGGCTCAGCCAGAGGTCTTGTCTATTTATGTGGGACCCTCCATGATGAAGGGACCAAGCTGAGCAGAAGAGAGCACTTTCGCATCATAAGGCCAGAATTACTGCTTTGCAAGCAGACTTTATTAGAAGAAATGCATATATCTCTCAGAGGCTAGACTGGGGAAGGCAAAAGTTTTCTGTAAAGAGCCAGACAGTAAATATTTCAGGCTTCTCAGCCACAAGGTCTCTGTTGCAACTACTCATCACTATTGTTGTAGTACAAAAGCAGCCATAGATAATTCCAGCAGAAAGGAGTGTGAAGCTTGAAGAAAACAGGCCTGTGGGTTTGAGTTCATCAACCATAGTTTGCCAGCTCCAGACTAGCCAGAAAACAACAGCAACAACAGCTACATCACAGAGGTGAATTGTGTTTGTCATGGGCCAAAGAGAAAACCTGGGCCAACCCTGCCTGCAGATAGAACAAATGGAAGCTGAAACACCCCTAATTTACTTTAGCCCCCCACCTTTTTCCTACCATGGGACCAGAGCTGGTCCTCCCCTCTCTGCAGAGTCAGCAGGAGCTAGAACAGATTGAGACTCTGCTCATATCCTGCTGACACCAGAGGTGGCAGAATTTGCACCACACTCTAAGGGACTGGGATTTCCTTCATCACTGGGAGTGGAGTGGGGGAGACAGTAGGTTCCGAGGAAATGAGCAGACACCTGATGCTGAAGAATGAAAAGAAAATCTGGGGAGCCAACCCTAGGAAAATGGGGAGAAGGTGAGAGTTAGAGAGTGAGGGAGTACCCAACATCCTGAAGCCCACCCAGAAAGGACTTGTCCCCTGTGTCAATACAGAGGTGTGAATTCACTTACCTGGACCCTCTTCTTGGATCCTTCGACAAAGGAATCTCTTAAGACCCCACAAGGTCCTGCTTTGCCGCCTCCTCCTATCTTCCTCCCCCAGTCAGCTCCTCCCACACTGGCCTCTTTGCTGTTCCTCAGACACATCCACGCTCTGCACCTCCTTACTCTTGAAAATGAAAACTCTTCCCCTAATTATTTACATGGCTCACTCTCTCTCTTCATTCAGGTGCTTCTCAAATGACATCACAGAGATGCCTTCTCTGCCTTTTCTATTTAGAAGAACATCCTCTTCAGACCCCATCTTGTTTTAATTTTTTTCCATAACACATATCACTACCTGACTATCTCTCCCAAGAGCATGTGAACCCCAAAAAAGCAGCGATCTTGGCTATTTTATTCACTACACTATTCCCAGCACCTTGAATAGTACCTGGGATATAGATGGTGCTCATAATATTTACTGAGTGAAGCCAGGTGTGTGGCTCACGCCTATAATCCCAAAACTTTTGAAGGCTGAGGCGGGCAGATCACCTGAGGTCAGGAGTTGGAGACCAGCCTGGCCAACATGGTGAAATCCTGTCTCTACTACAAATATAAAAATTATCTGGGCATGGTGGCAGGCACCTATAATCCCAGCTACTCAGGAGGCTGAGGCAGGAGACTCTCTTGAACCTGGGAGGTGAAAGTTGCTGTGAGCCGAGATTGCGCCACTACATTCCGGCCTGGGTGACAGTGAGACTCTGTCTCAAAAAAAAAAAAAAAAAATACTGAGGGAATAGATTAATCAAAATTTAACATGCATGTGATGGTCAATTTTACATGTTGTTTTGGCTGGGCCATGGGGTCCAGATATTTGGTCAAACATTATTCTAGATGTTTCTGTGAGAGTGTTTTGTATGGGATTTACAGGTAAATCAGTGGACTCTGATTAAAGCAGATTGCATATGTGGTTAGGCCTCATCCAATCAGTTGAAGGTGTGAATAGAACAAAAGATTGACCAAGCAGGAGGGGATTCTTCAGCAGGAGGGGACTCTGCAGCAGACGGCCTTTGGGCTTGAACTGCAGTGCCAGCTCTTGGAGATCTCCAGCCTGCCAGACCACCCTGCAGAATTTGGACCTCCAAGCCTGCATAATTACTTTAGCCAATTCCTTAAAATAAATGTCTTGATCTATTGTAGATTGGTAGATAGATAGATAGTGTGTATGTGTGTGTAACTGCTATTGATTCTGTTATCTAGAGAACCTTAACTAATGCAATTGTGTCTGGCCTGAAGAAGATGTATAGGGAGGTATTCAGAAAGTGGTTAGCCCTCTGCTTCATAATAATCCCATGGGTACTGGCCACCCACTGTGGAGAACTACCAGAACTATCCAGTGCGTAGCTTATTAGACCAATCCCTGCCTCCTTTCCTGTACCTCCACTCATAAGAGTAACTAGAGATGTGACTGTGCGACGTAAAAAGAGAGGTTGCTTGATTATGCGTTGCCTTCAGTTTTGGTTTTATTTTCTCATATCAGTTGTTTCGTTGGAGGGTGGCTGTTTTTGAAGAGAAGGAACTCCCCTTGTTGATTTGAAAAGTGAAGATTATACAGTTTTATTTCAGAAGCATCAAACTTCAATGCCTGTGGGACTCTGAGAACAGAATTAAGCAAGGTAAGATGGTAATTGGCAATAGGGAGTGATGAAGCTTATGGACAAATAATTTGGCCTAAAGGAGGTCTAATGGGCTTTCCAGGAATTAAAAAGAGAGAATTAAAGAAAGAGCTCTAGCTTATTGTTTCCATGTGGAAAAACAGAGCCTTTGCTGTCACATCTGATTTTTTTAAGAGAAAACTAGCCCCCCCATGCTCCCTGCTTTTTTTTAAGAGAGACAGGATATAACTCTGTCACTCAGGCTGGAGTGTTATAACTATAGCTCACTGTAGCCTCAAACTCTTGGGCTCAAGTGATACTCCCACTTCGACCTCCTGAGTAAGCTATGACTGCAGGTGCATGCCACCATGCTTGGCAAATTTTTTTTTTTTTTTTTTGGTAGAGATGGGGTCTTGCTTTGTTGTTCAGGCTGGTCTTGAACTCCTGGCCTCAAGCAATCCTCCTGTGTCAGCCTCCCAACACACTGGGACTACAGGAAGAAGCCAGCAAACCCAGCCACCTCACCCTTTTTTTTTTAATGTAGACTTTTCCAATGATTAGAATACTGTACAAGCTGCCAAGATGTGCTGACCAGATTCAGCCTGTTGGCTGTTAGTTTACCGCCCCTGCTTTAGTCTTTAATTTATTTCAATCACATATTTTAAGCAATTAAGCAGAGGAAGGAAAGGTGAGAAGGCAGGAAGACAGAAAGAGAATGAAGGAAAGAACAAAAAAAGAAAAAAAAAGAAAAGAGGAAAATAGAACAAGGCTGATAAAAAGGGAAATGAGCAAATGATTATGTTTTTATTAACTGCTAAGTTTTCAGGTAACTTGTTACACAGTTCTGCCTCAAGAAGTAAAAGAATAAATATTAAAACTGTCCAGGCACGGTGGCTGACGCCTATCCTCCCAGCACTTTGGGAGCCCGAGGTGGGCAGATTGCTTGAGCTCAAGAGTTTAAGATCACCCTGGGCAACATGGCGAGACCCCCATCTCTACTAAAAATACAAAAATAGCTAGGTATGGTGGTGCATGCCTGTGGTCCCAGCTACTCAGGAGGCTGAGGTGGGAGGATCACCTAAGCCCAGGAGGTCAAGGCTGCTTGCAGTGACCCAAGATCACACCACTGCACTCCAATCTGGGTGACAGAGCAAGACTCTGTCTCACACACACACATACACACACACACACGATTAAAACTAAGGAAAAAGAAGAAATGAAATAATTAAAAAAAAAAAACAGAAATTACTGAAATAGCAAACAACCACACAACAGAGAGGGTCAACAATCCAAAAGTTCTTTGAAACAAATAAATCAATTTACAGGTAATAATAAAAGTACAAATACTACTTATCGTAAATTTCACATAGCCAATTGATTCTCATAAAATGTTTTTGTTGATTTTTGCCAAACTCTTGTATGCTTTTAAGTGATGGACAAGCATAGCTGTAGCATGAATGTTGACTGGCGCATTCATTCACATTAATGAACAAGACAAAAGTGAAACAACAAAGAATTGGATTTGTTCGTCAGTGACACAAGCAAAATCCACTGAATCGGACAATAGTTGTCACATACTAAGAGAACATTTCCTCAACATTTTGGTGCTATTCACAACGTAACAGCTAGAGATATAGCACACTATAAACTGAATCTGCCTTTTGCCCTCCTGGGGACATTTGGCAATGGCCATTTTTATTGTTATGATTGAGAAGGTTCTACTGGAAATCTGGAGGGTAAAGGCCAGGGATGTTAACAAACCTCCTACAATACACAGATCAGCCCCTCACAGCAAAGAATTACCTGGTCCAGAATGTCAGTACTGCTTAGGTTCAGAAACCCTGGTCTAGACTACCAACAAAATAATAAATCAAGGCTGATTTGTGGAGTTTTAGCCATTTTAGACTACCTTAAGGCAGAGAGGGATTGAGATGATTCAGAGCTGGCGTCAGATGCTCTGGAAACTGGTCTACTTTCATTCACTCTTACTCCTAGTGGCCCTTTAGAGTCCCACTTGAAAGCCTCAGGTGCTTATCAAGACCCTCCTTTTCAACAAGCCTTGAACCCAAATTTTTTGTCTACTGGCACTGTGAGTCCGTAGAAAACTCCACGCAGCTTCTCAGATTTTCAGCTCCACTTTCAGAATTAAAACCAGCCACTAGGGGCAAATAGCCACAAATGCCAGACCCCCACATCTCTCCATTCCTCTCCCCTCCCAGATCTTTGCCCTATAATTTGTCACTTCCTTGGTAGCTCTCTGATGCCTTGAAACATTTTTTAAAATATTTTTATCCAGCTTCCCTGGTTGTATCAAGTGGGAAGACTAGCCCAAACCACCTAGCCAGTCATTGCCACAAATGAAATCCTGGAATAATCTATTATAATTCTTAAAGGATATCTCTGACTAATAAGAACAGTCCATAAGAGGCAGGAATGCCACCATAAAAGCCATCAGGAGCTGTGACAATAGTCTAAGAGAGATATGATGATGATATGGAGTATGGTGGTATTCATGTGTTCTAATTATCTGATCCAAGATACAGTTCAAAAGGAGGGTATAATATCTTATAAGGCAATTGTATGGATTAAATGTCTGTAAAGTGCTATATAAGTCAGTATAGTCTAGGTTTTTCTCAGTAATAAAAAGAAAAGCCTCAGTGATTTAAAATCGCAATAATGTTATGCCTTTCTCATACTGCATGTCCATGGCAAGTCAGGTAAAGGCTCCACCTGTGCCATCCTCACTCCAGACTGAGATCCTCTCTCTGTAAGTAGGACAGAAGAAAAGAGGAAGTGGAAAAAATCATACACTGGCTCTTAAAAGCTTCCACCTGGATGTGACACATGCCAACTCCACTGTCAATGTATTGACTACAACAGGGATTAACAAACTTTCTCTGTAAAGGGCCAGACAGTAAAAAGTTTCAGCTTTGTGAACCACATATGGTCTCTTTCACATATTTTTTTATGATGCTATAAAAAGTGTAGAAATCATTCTTAGCTTACAGGCTGAAGAATGTAGTTTGCTGACTCTGGACTAAAGTCAATCAGTTGGCCATCTCTACTTCCAGAAACCAAGAAAGTGAAATTCTACTGTGGGCCCTGGAGAAAAACTGAAGGTATTTTTGGACAGCACCAATGATTACTACAAGCGCTTAGCAGTATCCACCACTTAGCAGATGCTCAGTCTCTATTAATCATCATCATCATTGAGGTTTTCTGAACATGATTCTGAGATTTATTTTCCATTTTTCCCCTGAGATCTTAAAGCTTGCCTTCACAACATTACATTCAAAACAAAGGTAGGAGAGGAAGGTTCTAACATGATTCTCCATGATTCTCTAACACAATTATTTCTCTTCTCTCTTGCTGGCCTCCCAACTGCTTTCCTTACAAGATGTGCCTATTCTTACCTGAGGCTTTGCCATTCTCTCAGTTCCAGCTGAAGCTCCAAGATGGCAGAAAGCAATTGTTAGGCATGCAGTCTCTGGAGCCAAAATTCTGCCTTCAGATCCTGGCTCTTCCACTTAGAAGCTGTGGGACTATGGAAAAATGGGACCTTAATTTCCCTCTTTGGTTTTCTGAGTTTCCTCATCTATAAAATGAAGTTCATAATATTTACCTTGGCCAGGCACAGTGGCTCATGCCTGTAATCCCAGCACTTTGGTAGGCTGAGGTGGGCAGATTGCTTGAGACTGGGAGTTCAACACCAGCCTAGGCAACAATGATAAAATCCCATCTCTGCAAGGAAAAAAATACAAAAATTAGCTGGGCATGGTGGCATGTGCCTGTAGTCCTAGGTACTTGGGAGAATGAGGCAGGAGGATTGCTTGAGCCCAGAAAGCAGGGGTTGCAGTGAGCTGAGATTATGCCACTGTAGTCCAGCCTGGGTGACAGAGGAAGAACCTGTCTCAATAATAATAATAATTATTATTACCTAATAGTGCTATTGGGAGTGTTAAATTCATGTATCATTTAGCTACTGCCACAAACCATCCCAAAACACGCTGGCTTAAAACAATTATTCTTACAGATATAAGGGTCACCTAAGGATTGAGTGAGGGTCAGCTTACCTAAGCTGGACTCAGCTGGACAGCTCTGCCTATCTCAGCTGAGCTCCTCACATACGGAGACCGCCCAGGGTTGTTGGTTGACTTTGACTGAGGTCTTCTGGAGACCCAGCTTTATTTCCTATATGTCATATATTCCTCCTCAGATAAGTGGGCTACACCAGGAGTGTGTTTCTCATCATAACAGAAGAGGGAAACAAGGACAAGCTTGATTGGCCAAAAACTTTTTTAACCTTTCGCTACATCATACTGTGCAGAAAAGAACATAGCAAGCCTGATACTGCTGTACTTAGAAAAACCTGCTTGCAAGATTGCCCTTGGCTGGTATCTGGGTACTTGATTGGGAAGAGTTCACATTATTGTCTGGTAAGAAATGTTCACTATATCTAAGCATTTTGTGCAAACAATATGTTATCCTGAAGATCTGCTTTCCTTCCAGGAGTCTGAAATTTTAGTACATGCTAGGCAAACATGCCTGCATGATCAGCCCCCACTAGAAACTCTGGTCACCAAGTCTCTAATGAGTTTCCCTGATAGACAACATTTTGAAACGGGAGAGTCCCCTGACCCCCTCTGCAGGATGGCAACGGGGGTGTGGCTCATCTGTTCGGTCACCATCGCTGCTCAAACCCCTTACAGGAGGGAGAACATGCAGACAGACAGGTGCAGGAGCCCAAGAAGGTGTGTGTTACAGTGCACTCTTTCAGCCTTGCTGTCCGTGGACAGCTTAAGTGTTAATCAGCTCAGTAGACCCTCTGCCTTTTTGCAAGAACAGAGAGCCAATGTAACAGCTTTTTATATCCTGAGCTCTTGTCCCACATTCTGGAAGAATTGGATCACACATGGACTTGAAGGACAGTGAAAGCAGAGGTTTTACTGAGTGGTGTAGGTGGCTCTCAGTGGGAAAGATGGGGAACTGAAAGGGGGATGAAGCAGGAAGATGATCTTTCCCTGGAGTTTGGCCACGCAGTAGCTGATCTCTCTCCAACCATTCCCAGTCAAACTCCTCAGCGTTTGGATGTTCCTTCTCTTCTCTCTGATGCACCATTCTGTCATCCTTCTGCTCTCTGTTCATCTCCTGGTCTCCCTCTGGAGCCAGGGATTTGGGGTTTATATGAGTACAGGATAGGGGGGCATGGAGGGCCAAAAGGCAACCTTTGGGCACAAAAACAGGAATGCTTGCTCCCATTTAGGGCTGTGGGTATCTAGGCTTGAGAGTGGGGCCTTTGCCAGGGAACTGCCCTCTTCTACCCAGTATTTCCCTGTCTCCTATTGGTATCAGTTTCATACATGTTGTCACAACCTATTGCTTGGAGAATTAAGCACATCCTGTGTGACTCCCCTGGGAGAGTATATGTGGATGCTTGAACCCAGTTTCCTCCAGACTTTGTCCCATGTCCCTTTCTTTTTGCTGATTTGCTTGGTATCTTTTTACTCTAACAATTCCTAGCTATGAGTGCAACTGCATACTGAGTCCTGTCAATCCTAGTGAATGCTCAAATATGGAAGTGGTCTTAGGGATCTCCCTGACATATATTTTGTGTCACAAGCAGGATTCTCTAGACCAACTCTGACTCAATGAAATACGACAAATGCATTCTTTGGTTAAAGGAGGGATTAAGGGACAGGAGGTGACAAAGCTTTAATGCCTGGATGGCTATAAAGTTACCTATAATATGAAACAGCAGCTGAGCTGCTGAGTGTTATGAGTTAAAAGTTACCTATGGGATTTTTAAATAATAGATCCTTCCCCAGGAAAGAAGACTCACTCACTGGATCACCTGGCTATTTTCAGCTATTCTGGCTAAAGTGAAAAGGGAAAAAAGTATAGCTCAGGTGATACCTTTGGTTTTCATTCTTTCCTCTAGTTGGGAGGAAAAAGGACCAAAAATACCCAAAGGTGAGTTTTGGATGAGTTAAAAATGTTAAAAAGAGCTTGGTGCAGTGACTCTCATGCCTGTAATCCTACAGCTTTGGGAGGCCAAGGTGGGAGGATCACTTGAGGCCAGAAGTTCAAAACCAACTTAAGCAACATAACAAGATCCCATCTTTACAAAAAGTAAATAAATTAAAAATTAGCCAGGCATGGTGGTGCTTGTTAAGCTTACTATTGAGATCTACTGTTCAGAAAAAAGATTCCTTTCAAAATATTGCTGCTTATTGACAATGAACTGGTCTCCTGAGAGCTCTGATGGAGATGTGCAAGGAAATGAACATTGGTTTCATCTCTGCTGACATGACATCTATTCTGCAGCTGATGGATCAAGGAGTAATTTTGACTTTCAAGTCTCATTATGTAAGAAATACATTTTGTAAGGCTTATAGCTGCCATGGGTAGTAATTCTGAAGAATCTGGGAAAAGTAAGTTGAAAACCTCCAAGCTGGGCACGGTGGCTCACGCCTATAATCCCAGCACTCTGGGAGGCTGAGGTGGGTGGATCACGAGGTCAAGAGATCGAGACCATCCTGGTCAATGAGGTGAAACCCCGTCTCTACTAAAAATACAAAAATTAGCTGGGCATGGTGGTGCGCACCTGTAATACCAGCTACTCAGGAGGCTGAGGCAGGACAATTGCTTGAACCCAGGAGGCGGAAGTTGCAGTGAGCCGAGATCACGCCATTGCACTCCAGTATGGGTAACAACAGCGAAACTCCATCTCAAAAAAAAAAAAGAAAGAAAGAAAACCTCCAAAAAGGATTCACCATTCTAAATACATAAAGATCATTTGTGATTTGTGGAAGGAGGCCAAAATATCAACATTAACAGGAGTTGGGAAGAAGCTGATTTCGATCGTCATGGATGACTTCCAGGGGATCAAGTCTTCAGTGGAGGAAGTAATGGCAGACATGGTAGAAATATCAAGAGAACCAGAATAAAAAGTGGAGCCTGAAGATGTGACTAAATTGCTGAAATCTCATGATAAAACTTGAATGAATGATGAGTTGCTTCTTATGGATGAGCAAAAGAAATGGTTCTTTAGATGGAATCTGCTCCTGGTGAAGATGCTGTGAACACTGATAGAATGACAGCAACGGAATAAGAATATTACATCAGCAGTTGATAAAGCAGCAGCAGAGTTTGAGAGGACTGACTCCAATTTTTTAATTCTACCATGGGCAAATTTCTATCAAACAGCATCACATGCTACAGAGAAAACTTTCATAAAATGAAGGATCAATCTAGGTGGCACATTTCATTGCTGTCTTATTTTCAGAAATCACCAGGGCCATCCCAACCTTCAGCAACCAGTCTTCAACTGATCAGTCAGCAGCCATCAACATCAAGGCGAGACCTTCCACCAGCAAAAAGATGACAACTTCCTGAAGGCTCAGATGATTGTTAGCATTTTTTAGCAATGAAGTATTTTTAAATTAAGGTTTGGACATTTTTAGACATAATGTATTTGCACATACATAATGCTATATACAGCAGTATGTATAGTGTAAATATAACTATGCACTGGGACACTAAAAAATTTGTGTAACTCACTTTATTGAGGCAATCTGAAACTTGAATCTACAATGTCTCTGAAATAGGCCCGTAGTAAAAACAGAGCTAGTCTCCATAACCAATGATTTTTACTATTTTTGCCAATTAGAGCCTCAGGGGAAAAGGAGGTAACATTAGAAAAAGAGAAGCAATCTCCAGATAGAGATACATTTTTAGAATTTTAAAGACCAGTTTTTAGTTTGCTAATGAACTCTCTTGAAATCAGATGTCTGACCCTTAGAAAGGCTGATGAATTTCTGGCCTGATGTGCATATTTTAAGAAGGTCAGTTTGGGCTGACATTTATCATAAGACTAAAAAAAAGCCTTGCTTGTCACCTGGACTTGGAACACAGCTGTCTGCCCCTGCAAGAGTTTGCCTTTGCTGCTGCCAAAGCAAAGCCTCTGCTTTTTTTTTTTTTTTTTTAATTTTTGAAATCAAAGATCCTAATTCCTGGGACTTAAAGCTAAATGCTATCTGTTATGAGCTGTTACAGCTTCCAGACAAGCTGTGCTCAACTGAAAACAGGCATAGGTTCAATGAATAGGACTTCAACTTGAGGACTTGTGCAGGTTTGAGACACTCCTCTGTGCAGACATACGCTATGAAAACATCATAGATGCTGGCTGGACCATCTGGGTCACATACAGATGCTCAGGGAAGAGGGTTTACTCTCTGATGGGACCACCTGAAATTGAGCTCTTCAGGTCTGTGTTGCTAATGCATCTGCAGACTGTGTTCTAACTTGCAATTACTGCCAAAAGCTACACCCTGGGCAACTGTGATGGAAGGATCACAGTGACCCCTCCACCACCCAGACAGATCAGACTACCAGGCCCCACTAGGTCTTACATCTGTTGATCTGTTGTGTTATGGATTCGCTGCCGTTGACTATAATGAATTGATAACCTGACTCTACTCTCCTCACCTTTCTCCTGGTACACACAACAGAGAAGGCAGTTTGATTATTAAATGCAGCTGTTTCCAGAAAGGGGTTGATCTTTTCTAGGCTGCTCACTAGATAAATGATCAGGACAAAAGAGATGGGAGGTTCTGTACATCATTTTGAAATTTTTTGAAACTTCAGGATTCTTGCCTAACTGATTCCTGAACATGATGTACCTTTCTGGTCAAGTGGATAAAACTTTTTTTCTGTGAAAATGCTTTTGTCCCCTTGCATATCACCTTCCAGACAAAGGGTCTGATGAGATGAAAAAGAAAAGTGACTAGAAAAAACTATAAAGTAATGATTATGAAATGGGAAATACTGATTTTGTAACAAGGGTGATAAAACACTGGGGAAGTATCGGGCAGGGGTGGGGAGGCATTAATGACATCTGTTTAGAACTGTTTCTGGAAGCTTCCTCCTCTTGTTGAGGGAAAACTCCCCATGCCACCTTTCCAAGCTCAGAGTAGGTACTGTGAATTCAAACTGACTCCTGAGCCAAGGCCACAAGGGGTCAGTGCTGACTGTGGCACCCACAGCTGGCCGGACCCAGCCCCTTGCTCTCCGTACAGCACACCTACAAATGTCCACACACATAAGACAAATGAAGCCATGTCACTGACAAGCAGAGCTGTTTGGAACTGACTGTCTCAGAAAGTCTCCCTAAAGCCAAGGACTGAACTGAATTTATCTGGACTAGAGTGAGACCCCTAGAGTGGGAGGCCTCACCATGATGCAGTGCGCTACATTGCAGCACTGCACTGTTCATCTTTCCTGCCTGGCCCAAGTATGTCCTGTCTGGGATGCCCTAGAATTGTAAATTCTGTTTCAAGGGGTAGTGTGTACATCCTGTACTTCTTGGGGGTTTACCTTTACTACCATGGAACTGCCCTGGCCCTGGAAGCTCCAGCTTACTGGCCAGAGTTGTACTGCACCAAAGCCTCAGAAACAAAGGTTTATACAGAAGTTCAAGGAGGAAACCGTCTGGCTTTCTAAGATAGACCTTTATAGTTAATGAGGTTAATTTTAACTGGCTAAGCCCAGGACTCCTAACAGGGATAACTGCAGGTGGGTTCCACCCTACTACGTGGGATCCTACTGATAATTTTTCTACACATGTCCGTCCCTATGACAAAACTTCATGTGGGTTTTCACAATTCGTTGCTAAGAAAGTTAGTCATGTCCTGTGTGACTTCCTGGGGACAGAACTCTGGACCTGGTTCCCTCTGGACTTTGCCCCATGCACCTTTCTCTTTGCTGATTTTGCTTGGTGTTCTTTCTAAGAAATCATAGCTGTGAATATGAATGTATGCTGAGTCATGTGAGTCCTACTAGCAAGTCATTCAACTGTGGGTGGTCTTGAGGACAACCCAACATATATACTAACATTCCAATGGCCAAAACCAGTTACACAAATCTAAAGTCAAGGGTCTGGAAAATATAATTTATTAGTGGGAGGAACTGCAGCTCATGGCAAATGATGTG